TGCCGAGGTTCAACCACCGATCTCAGTTGGCTCGAACGGTGGCAGGTTAGTTACCAAAAAGGTTCCATGGAATCCACTTCCTTTTGTGCAACAGAACCACAGCATTCGCTTGACGTTTCCTGAAGATTTACCTGATTATAACTCATTGTCGGTTTGAACCAGGGGTCATAACAGTGAGTGTTTCATTTTGGTGACAGACTCTCCAGACATTTTGTAGATAAGGGATCTTTACTGTTCTGTAATAATTCCGCCTTTTTTTTTCTCTCTCTCTCCAAAGTCTCTTGTGGTTTTTGCGCTTCCGCAAGCTCCCCAGGGTATATGACTGCGCAATGAATCGTAAACTTAGGATCTAATCTTCACTTTCTGCACCAGAAGCTCAGAGGACGATGTTTCCTTGATGTTTTTGTTCATTTCTAATGTAATGTATAGAGTTTTGATGTTTCCTTGATGTTGTCTAATGCAATGCAGTGGGACCCACCCTTGGATAACTTAAGCTAATCAAATATCGGTGATATATGCGTATTGTTTTATTACAAGTGACGAAGGAATAATTCGATTTTATTGCTCCACGTCGCCGACGTTAAAAAAAAAACAATTGGAGTCCTTGGACTTCAAAGCCCACCTTAGAAAGCCCAACTAAGAGCTAAGTCTGGCCCATTGATCTCTCATGCGCACGTTAGCTTCACGTCGAGACTATATAATGTAACTAACTGGGAAATCGATGAACGAAGAAGTCTTGCCATCCAAAGTTAGGGTTTTATCTGTTAACTCAGTTTGCCCCAGAGCTCCCAGGGCGGCCGCCGTCTCCGTTTCAGGTTCGCTCGCTGTTTTATCTCTAAATTTTTGGCTACATAAATTGGTTTTATGTGTTCCTCGTACACCGGTTGTTCCGTCACAATCTTCTCAGATCGTTTTCGGCTTCAATCTTGTGGTTTGCGTTCTGAATCAGATGTTCACAATCTGAATGTCAATTTACGATTCTGAGGTTTAATTTTCGGAACATTTAGGGGTTTTAGATCTCGGATTCTCTTTCGTTCCCAGATTAGGATGATACGAGCAGTCACTTGTAGAACTGGGTTTGCATTACTTGGGTTGGGTGATTTCCTGGTTTGTGATTTGGATTTGCCATGTGCAATGCGGATTGTGGAGCAGAGATGAATCGCATCTTGTGGAGACACGTTCTTCGCAAACGGCATTATGGCATCTTTTGTATTCAGATTCTCGTATTCAGCATTAGGCTCCTAGTTGACTGCTTTGTTGTTAGCTCTAGGGTTTTTAGGGTTATGATTGAACATTCAAACATAATTTGCATCGCAAGTTGTACAAGTCTGAAAGATCAGTTGGGCAGGAAGGATGGATTCACAGATAAAGCATGCAGTGGTGGTGAAGGTGATGGGGAGGACGGGATCGCGTGGTCAGGTCACTCAGGTCAGAGTGAAGTTCACTGATTCGGATCGTTACATCATGAGGAACGTCAAAGGCCCTGTCCGTGAGGGCGACGTCCTCACCCTCCTCGAGTCCGAGCGCGAAGCCAGGAGGCTCCGTTGATCTTTTTTACCAAAAGTTTTTGTCTCAGTATCAATCTCTGCCTGTCTTCTTTCTTCTTAGTTTTGTTTCAGTTTCAGACATGTTCAAGGAGATGATGGATCTATGAATCTTATGATGTGCCTTTGGAATATCAATTCGTTTGATTAAAATTTACAAGTAATTTTTTATTCGTGTATTATCACATAAAATGAAGGGAAACTTTGGCTACAGGTTAGAGATTTGACATTTGAGTCTTGGAAACAATCTTTTTTTGTCTTCAATATATTTTGTAGTTGGATATTTACCCTGATTTTGGTTCAACGGATTATTATAGAAATTATTAGTTTTTCTTTACAGGATTGGTTTGAATTCTACTCGATTTTCAAAAAGAAAATTCGAATCTGATTCCACGTGAGATTTCATTAAAATAAAATATAATCCGACCAATCTGTTTGATTTGATTTTCGTACGAAACATTGATCAACAGAGAACAAGGGCGACGGTAATCTTGTGTCATTCATTAACGGATCTAATGAATTTTGGTGAAAGAAGTTTACCCTCGGTTTTAAATATAATTACCAGTCTGCCCCTCCCGCCGCGTTCTTACTTGGAGGAGTTGTGTTCGCAATCATATCCCTCCTAGTCTATTCCGCGATCCACCGAACAAGACAGAGGCTCCTCTTCCTCCTGGTACGTGCATCTTCTCCTTCTCTGTGATTCTTGATTCGCTTTTGTCGCTCTACCAACACTTGCTGTCTGGTTCTTGGTTCGGATCTCTCTGTTTCCATGATTTGATTTTATCTGATTTCGCTTCCGACAATGTCTGTCTGCTTCGCCTTAAATTGTGTGGTCCGGTCTTATGTCTCTGTCCTTCTGGATTTTAAGGCTTTGATCTGAAATCGTGGCAGCGTTTTATTCTTCCTGTGAAGATCCGACGCTCCGTCTCCGCATCTTGATGTTGGTTGAGATTTATTGAACTTGAGAATTGATTTGATCATCGGATTTGTAGAATGAATTAGTGCTTCTGTCGCACAATGATGTTCTTATTCCCGAAAAATCTGGGACATGCCGACATTTTCTTATGCTTGTTCAAGATATTGTGGAATTGGTATGTTTGGTCAACAGATTCAATGATCTTTGCTCATCTTTCCTGCAGTTCCTTGATCGACCCCCGAGTCAGATTTCATTCTGTTCTCTGCTAATACTGTGTTATAACAAGTAGTGTGTATACTTCTGCAGAATTCGGGGTGAGTAGCGTATAACATCATCTATAATGTCTGGCACAGAGGATCTCAAACTGCAAGGGGTAGAAGGAACCATCACTGATGAGGCTGAGAAATCCATGCCATCGTCTCAGGAGGAGGTTGTAAAGGCCCCATTTTGTTCCAATTCCCAAACTTCATATAATGCCAGCTGCATATATAGATGACCTACATATATGGTTTTCTTCTTTCCCTCTTGGAAGCTCTTGTGTGAGATTAGCTGTGTGTAATGCTTTATGTAGGAGGCAGCTGTAAACAAAAAGTACGGAGGAATCAAGCCAAAGAGGCCACCGCTGATTTCCAAGGTAAGTAGTCTCTCGTAGGGTTTGATCTAAAGAGAACAGGGTTTCACTCGGGAACGATTAACCTTGTTGAGCTTTCTTTTTCAGGACCATGAGCGAGCTTACTTTGATTCTGCAGACTGGGCTCTTGGAAAGGTTTTTCTCTTACATCATTGTTTGCCTCTGTCAGTTTTTTGGCTGAGCTTTTGTTATCAGCTACATACAGTGTGCAATGCAATCTGGTGTTTGATTTCTTAACAGCAAGGAGCTGAGAAACCAAAAGGACCGCTAGAAGCGCTTCGCCCAAAGTTACAGGTATGAGCTCGGACATTCGGTTTAGCCGATTCTCGAGGATACACTCATAATCTGACAGTGATAAAAACACTTCAGAAGCAAGTCACTGGCCTCTTCGATAAGTAATCGTTCCTTTAAAAGTTTAAAACTTTTTTGAATATGGGTATGTTAGAAAGGAAAAATCTCGTCGGTTTTGCAGCCAACGCGGCAACAAACTCGGTACCGGAAATCTCCATGTGCTCCATCTGAGGGCGGAGGTAACTTCTCCCTCTCATTGTTCTGTCGTCTGTTCTTCTCTGTAGAGAAAGGAGACTTAACCCATTGTGGCTCTTAACGCAGAAGACGGAGGAGCTGCTTAGCTATACTATACACCGAGCTGAGGTCCTGTTGATGATATTTCAGAGATCCTTATGTTACGACGATGTTGACAATTAAACAGTTTGGTAAATTGGAATATATCTCTGCCCATTCCTATTTAGTTGCGGAGAAAGATTCTGAAGTTGTAAGATTCCACCTCCAACAGAGGTTTCAATGGTTTGGTTGGTGGTGGTAAGAATTTTTTTTATAACCCGCAAGTCCACCCCTGGAATGGATATTCGAGGAGTTTTGCCCTATCTTTTACCAGTTTATCCGTCTATTTCAGGACTTCAAAATTTGTCGGAATGATAAAATCATGGTCTATCTCTAAATCTCGGAAAGATATCATCCGTATATACATCTATATACATATAAATGCCCAAAGTGGTAAGCGTGTTGAACACACGAACATCCAAATCCCATAATAGTGATTGGCATATTAACTCTATGGTATATACAGTAACGAAATTCAAAAAGGCGTTCCATTAATGTAGCGATATGGTCAATACTTTTATACCCCTTATAATGATTGTCTGATTATATCAAAACATAATTATTGATTTTCAAACATGTTGGTCCAAGGTGGAGTTTACCTCGTACGGATATGGACCATGAAACCAATCTTCGATAGGGTAATCGATGTCGAGCATCTTGGTTCCCTTGCCGAGGCGATTGTGTTCGTAGACTATCTTTGGGTATGTGTCAATCGCTGAATCACAATGCGCGTAGGAAAGTAACTTTTGTATGGAACATGCCAAGTCTTCGATCAATGATCTTCGTCGTTTATATACGCATCTGAACCATAATAAGTAATTCATCGGCACTTTGCCAGTATTTCTTCGACCAAATCGTAAGGGACTTCGTTCATTGTCAGTTTTAGAGTCTTCCTTCCAGATTGTGACATCATGTAATTTTAAATTTTTATTAATTCATAATTAATATAAAACACATACGAAGATCTTACCTGAATCCATGGAAGAATCTTCCTAGGGTTTGCTTCCTCGCTCTGATTTGCTTCCACCTTTAGAAGAAAAGAGTTTTTACTATAGGAATTTTGGAACCCTAATTTATAGTTAAATACGAATTTATATATAAAAAAACTATTCCAAGATTTTAGGGTTCCCATTTTTTTTAAACTCAACCTCGGTACGGTACAATTAGGCTGGTACGTGGGAATTGATCTGATTTGATGGATTGTCTCAATAAACAATCTGAAACTATTTTTTTGCATTTGTTGTGCACGCGTTTCTTTATCTTCGTCTTCAAGACTTGATACTTATTTTCTACAACATTCAATAATACCCTTTTGTTTATTACATTAAAACACTCATATACACATCAATACCACATACAGGATATTCATTTCTTCTCTGCATAGAATCATAAAAACGTATCTATAATAACTTTTATAACAATTAATACATACTTTTATGGGCAAAAAATAAGTTACTCAATGAATTTGTTTTGTTAACTACTCTCATAACTTTACTTTACAATTTTCACGACAAATCTAAAGCTTCAAAAGAATGTCGCCACAATCTGAAGACCACTTCTCAAGGTCTAGCCTTGTGAACAATGTCTTCTTCGTATTCAATTATTAATTTTTAGGCTAAATTAAAAAACATCGACTATCTTATTTACAAAAAAAATATTTGTACTTTGAATTTGTTAAAAAAAACTCATCAATAATTAATTTTTTAGCAAAATAACCCATAAAAGGTCTAATTTATTCAAAAACAATATTTCACTTAAAATTTGTAATAAAAATTACTTACTATTAGTTTTAATAAAAAAAAAACCCATCAAATATCTAAATAACTCAAAAAAAAATTATATTAAATTTATTATAACAATGTAAACATTTTGAATAGAAAACATATATATAATTAACATATATAATAAAATTTTATTATATTTAAAATTAAGTATATATTATTTTTTGCAAATATTATTTTTAAAATGTTATCATATATGTTGTAGAATCTTACGAGCAATTCTGAATATTTTGTCATGCATCCTACAATAAGTCTGTCAATCGCTCAAGTATCTCTAGACAATCCAAAGTCATTGATGTTTAACGAGATCCATTTGCTCCAAATTGCAATAAAGTTCTTGTTTTTGCTTTCGTGTACAACCCAAACAATTATGTTTGGATAGTCTATGTCATCCCTGTTGATCTCGAACATGTAGAAACGGTCACGAGTAACGAAAAGTTTATTCACTCGGTGCTCTGTAGGGACATTCGGACCATAAGATACACCCATAACGTCATCTTCGAGACATAATCTGAGAATCAGACGAAGAAAAACCATTTATTATTGTTTTGACCGACAATTAAATTAATAAACAAGATGTTTCATTATATTTAACCAATTATTAGATTTAATTTAGTGCAATTATCTTTTATTTACAAAAAGAGAGGGAGAAAATATAGCTTAGGATTCTATGAAATGATAGTCACACTCAAAATCAACGAAAAACATGAAGAAAATATGGTAAAAAAAATAATATATAATTTATTTCACCTTGCATTATAATGTATATTATATTATTCCTTTTTACGATGTAATAAATGTATTGTCACGAATAGTTCATATAAGAATTGACGGGATTATATACCTATATATATATAATATATCTTATTTTATGCGACTGTCCATTATTATAATAGTAAACTTTATAAATTTCATCAGTAATTATTAATATATAAAAATCCAACTTTGGTTCATTGATATTATTTTAATTTTAAAATTTTGGCTTCGGTTCCATTCCAATTTTTTTTTACTATATATACCAATTAAGATAGGTTTTTTATTATCTAGAAATAAAAATAATTTTTATTATCTAGAAATAAAAATAATTACATATGCATTAATTGTGATCATTCACAATTGCATATTCTAAATTAACATTGTGTGAATAATCACTAAGATATGAATATATTGGCATGGTTGAAAAAACTGATAAAAATCATAAGTATAACAAGAACTATTAACAGCATTCTTAACAAACTAGCTATATATAATTTATGCATATATACAAAGATATGAAAGTAAAACTGTTAAACCCGTGAAAGAAATTTATAAAAAGATTATAGTTTTATAATAGTTGTAAATATTCATAAAATAGATGGAGTCCAAATTTGAAAATTGTGAACATGTTGCATTGTTGTATCACTTATCATATTACCGAAACTATTTAAAATGTTTTTTATATAACTAAATCGTTATTAAATTTTAATTTATTATTACTTATAGAAATATGAAATTATGAATTTAAAAAAAAACTATATTATTTATTTAAATTCCAGTTTTGCATAAATATCAAATGACGCGGTTCTTCACGCGTCTTTAGAATGTTATTGGTCCGATGCAACAGTCCCCTAACATTCTTGATTTTTTTCAAACTACGCAATATGCGCATATACATATATATACATGTATATATATATATATGCGACGACTTACATTGACTAATCCAAAAATGAATATCTCACATTTGTTTATAAATAGTGTGACAAAACATGTTAGTGTATGTATATCTAAATTAATTATAATATATATGTCTTGATCACATTAATCAATTATCGAATGGTTATATGTGTAATTTATTCCAAATCGTGTTGCCATCTGGACCGACTCGACGTAACGGTGATTTCATAGTATATATGTGTGTGTGTGTGTGACAATAATCGCATTCAGCCAAAAAAAAAATATATGTGACAACATCTTAGAAGACTTTTTGAAAACAAACAAGCAAGATAGTTACATAAGTTATCAAGTAATTTAATAATTTGATCACACACACACATATATATATATATATATGTATTATAGCTGGATTCATGAAAAATAACGATCTACACAAATACAATATATATATATAAATAATTCTTTATCTTTATTCCCTTCTTTTTATTTATTTATTTATTTTTTGGATCAACATTCTACCACCAAACACACAAAAAAAAAAACAGAAAAAGTTAATTCGCAAGTGGTGTCAATAAACAGTAACGAATACATATGATTTGTTTTCGTATTTTATAATTAGACATGTTATTGATTTTAGAAAATGATACTGGAAAAATTATCCATGTGAGAAACACAGATAATTACTCTTGTATGTATGTATGTATGTATGTATGTATGTACATCATACGTATACCCATCAATTTAATGTATTATGCTACGAACATTAACCACTAATCAACCAAATGTCCTTAATTATTCTATGAGAAGGACCCCTAAGTTCAACTTGCAATAACACTAATTGTCAAAATATTAGGGTTTTGTAATCCATATTAATTTTTAGTCGAAATTATGGAAATTTTACGTGATTTTATAATTAATCATTGCCCTATAATTTGTTAACTTTCTGCATAAATTAATTTTGATGAACTGAAAACACATTTTAAAGAATATAGGTTGGACCATCATCAAAGGGGATGGCGTTAATGGCTCAAAGTGGGAGTAGATGAGTAAAAAAACCAAATTAATAAAATCACTTTAATAATAACATGAAGAAAAAAAAAGTCATCTACACCCATGCATGAGTCTTATCTGATACGGATGGAATCACACGTATTATTGGTCCCATTATCCTCTATATATATATATATACACATCCAATCCAAATGTGAAGACAAGACTTGTAACCGACCATTGAATCAGCATAAGATTAGGTTCTTCTCAAGAATAATCCCTCTATTTTTCTTTCATCGACTCAGTATATATATATATATACACACACACACTATATTTTCTCTCTCTCTCTCTCTCTCTATATATATATATATATATATATATATATATATATATATATATTATACGTAGTTAGTTTTCTTTCGTATGTGTTATATTATAGTTACCACTTGCAATTCAATGGTCGTACAAAACGTAATTATTATTTTATAAACATGACAGCTGTAGCTAACTAATATATGGATTAAGGAGGGTACTTTATTAAGCCATAATATCGTATTTTTTGTTATCTTAATCAATAATGCATATATGGGTATCCATCCACCATGCACGTTGTGAACATTCTATCTTATTTTCGGAAAAAATTTCAACATGTTTGAAAATTAACCCTAATAAGAACAAAAAATGGGCCATATATGTATTAAGAAAAAAGAGAATAATATCATTTTTTTTTTGTTATTAGAACGTGAAACAGGTAGAAAATTCTATGGGTCACATATAGACAAACATTTGTCAACGAATAAAAGATTATAATATAACGTTACATGTTATTTAAAATCTTCCAGTTCCATTAACATTCTAGAACGTGATTTCTTGTAAGCAAATTTCACAAAATAACGAAACCTTGTTGAATTTAATCGACTTCTGCACGTTCAATGATCTGGCTCGAGAACAAATACAGCGTAGATAATATATATGAAAACCAAATAAATCATTTTAATAACATGAAATAACGAAACCTTGTTGAATTTAATCGACTTGATCTGTACGTCCAATTTGTCTCGAGAACTAATACAGCATGCATGGATAATATATATTCTATATGTATATAGGTGTATTTGTATGGTCGATGAGGATCCACTCATTAATACCTTAATCCAGATTAACAACTAATAAGAGGAGATTAACGTTAAAAAGATTCCGAAGAGTGCTCTCTTATAAAAATAGCCGACATTGTTGACTAAACTCCTCGTAATCGTTGACCTTTTATCCATTATATATACACACGCACTCACCAGTCACCACTCCAAAAACGAAGTCGTAATAATAACATTTATAATAAAATAAGACGACATGGATCGTGCATACAATTCGGGATACGTACTCATAACGTTTATGGTTATGGTTATGGTTACGGCCGCGGCTGGTCAGTTGCCTCGGCCACGGGTCGGGTTCTACTTGTCGAGCTGCCCGAACGTTGAGTCCATAGTGCGTTCAGTGGTCCGGTCTCACCTGCAATCGGACCGTCGGATCGCACCGGGGATATTGCGTATGCATTTCCACGACTGCTTCGTCCGCGGCTGTGACGGCTCGGTCCTCATCGCCGGTTCGAACTCCGAGAGAACAGCCGTGCCGAACCTCTCGTTGAGAGGGTTCGAAGTGATAGACGACGCCAAGACTCAGCTCGAGGCATCTTGTCCGAACACTGTCTCTTGTGCTGACATCCTCGCCCTCGCTGCTCGTGACGTCGTCTTATTGGTAAAGATTATTGTTAAAAGCATAGAAATGTTATATAAACGCATACTTAGACGTTTATTAGTGCAATCGTGTTTCTTGTTAAAAACAAAAAACTTTCTTTGTAAATTTCTATCATATGATATATATGTATTTACACGTTACCTCATGCAGACCGGGGGGACAACGTGGGCGGTGCCACTGGGACGACTGGACGGGAGAATCTCGCAGGCGTCGGACGTGAACTTGCCTGCCCCATCCGACCCCGTCCCGGTTCAGAAGCAGGACTTCGCTGCTAAAAATCTCAACACTCAAGATCTCGTCACCCTCGTCGGTATGTAAACCCCCCCCGTGTGTGTGTGTATATATATACGGAAATGGATTTGGAACAATTTATCTTACTATTCATCAAATCAAATGAGTTAAAACACAAAGACACTGTTTTTAATATACTGACTACACCAAATCCGCTTGAACCGGACTCTAATAATAATAATAATAATAATAATAATAACGTGTTCATTAATGGTAATGAAAGATTTCTTCTACGTTATAATGGCAATCAAATATATATATACATATATAGTTTTCAATCTGAGAGATTCAGCTTTGTGGTTCGATCAGGCGGACACACACTAGGAACAGCAGGGTGCGGTGTGTTCAGGAACAGGTTCTTCAACTTCAACAACACCGGCAGCCCCGACCCAGCCATCAACCCGACCTTCGTTCCACAGATACAATCTCAGTGTCCCCTCAACGGCGATGCGACCGTGCGAGTGCCTCTCGACACTGGAAGCGTCGACAGATTCGACACCTCCTTCTTACAGAACCTGAGGTCTGGCCGAGGAGTCTTATTCTCGGACCAGGCCCTTTGGTCCGACCCCGAGACCCGAGCAATCGTCGAGCGTTTCTTGGGTCTACGGCTACCGATCCTTCTGTTCGGGCCGGAGTTCGGGAGGTCCATGACCAAGATGAGTCTCGTCGAGGTTAAGACGGGTTCTGACGGTGAAATTCGTAGGGTTTGCTCCGCGGTTAATTAGTGATCGAGGGTCAAAGACTCCTTTTTAAGCGTGGGTTACGGTTAAGTGTATAATTAAGTTGCTTCGTGTGAAATAAAATGTCGGAATCAGACAATAATCTGTGCACAGAGCTTGCAATAATTGTACTTGGTTTTGTTTTTGTCGGGAAATTTGGTTTAATTGGAAGCAGTTGTAATTGTAACTATTGTTACTGTATATCCCTCGTGTAATTGTTGCATGGAAGAAGGATATCATGCAGTACTATCAATTGTGATTAATATATAGTATCTTTAATTTATGTGTATATGTATATGCATGGTGTGTATCTCATAGTTCATAAGTATTAGAATATTTATTTTTAATTAATTTTGAATAATTAATTGAACTATTTGAAGTTTGTTAGCGTTCTAAAAGAATTTATAAATTTTAGATCTGTTTTATTTTTTTTCCTAATTTTTTTCTCTAGAGGTCCATGTTATAAATTATTTATTCTATATTTTTTTTGTACCCCCCCCCCACACATATATATATACGATAGAGGAATTCGAATTGAAATATTTTTTTTTATACAACTATTTTTTTTTAACATCTTGGTCGGTCAACTCGCTGTCACCAATTGGAATACTAATAATTAATGAATACGGAATTCAACTCTCGTCATTAAACATCGTTATCTTTATCCCAAGCCTCTCTGTTATCTTGAATTCAAACTTAACAATTCCCGTGACATCGGCCGCATATTATATATATATATTCGCGTTGATTCTTTGAATTTTGTACTGATTCTTTCTAAACGTGTCAGATATATGTATTCGTTCAAATATCAATTGGGCCAGTTGCATTGTCCTAACATGATTAATCGACATATATGATATATATATATATATAGTACAATGAATACCGTACCATTCCATAAATATAACAATGAATTGTACGTAGTGTTTACAAGAGACATGCATGGATCCATTATCACTGAACGTGGCATAGCTTGTGACCCGTTCAATATGCAGATAATCGTTTATATATATATATAATTGTTCACACAAAAGTACGACATTTTTTTTATTCCGTATGTATTTAGTATATACGTACAGAGAGGAAGTAATTTAAAGTTCAAAAATGGTAACGAAGCAATTCTTAATTTTAACTAATTAATTGAGTTACCGATGAATTTATTAATTAGCACATCATTAGGCATTACACCTTCCATAATGCGTGCATGCAAATTTTAAGGTTTTTACATGGCATAATAATAATAATAATAATAATAATAATAATAATAATAATAATAATAATAATAATAATAATAATAATAATAATCATAATAATAATAATAATAATTGAATGTCAAAAGGAGAAGCGTGTCGAACTAATTTTAAATTAGACATGAAAGTATTTACGTGAGGAATTATTCCTCCTCCCATAAAAAGTCAACTCTTCTCGTTATATTCCCATAGATGATTATACAAAGTAAAAGCTGACCAAAAACATTATAATTAATTATTCTTACAATTTCCAAATGTCCCGATCTCAAATGATTCTCGGTTCGTAGGATTTCTCTTGACAATTATTCAAAAGGTTCCACAAAATTAGCTTAACTTGTTCATATTTTAATGATATGGCTTGCTCCCAATTTCGTAAAAAAAAAAAATCATCAATTTCGGAATTGTGGAGGAGGAGTCGGGGCAATAGCATAATTATGTATCCTTAACTAAAAAATGATAGAAATGCTTATTTCTATGTATAAAAATGGACCCACCGCCGCTTAATCCAAACTAATGATTAATCAAAAAATAAAAAAACTCGAACATTAAACAGATTCCGATAAATTAATGTCGGTGTCGTATGTCCCACCACGTTGTTTTATGGCATCTAATGTGACATTTGACAATTTCCCCACAACTATATAAACCCTTAAAACCACACCAACTCAAAACACACAACAACTCGTGTCCAAGAATCATAATATCTAACAAATAAAAATGGCTCGTGTTTTTAAAATTCGTTTTGTTCTCATAACGTTTCTCGGGATGAAATGAAAAATTTAAGTTCATGCTGACAGCATCACCCAATGGCAGGCTCTTGGGTTTCCGATGCCCCAATTTGCACATGTTTCATTAATTCTTGCTCCAGACAGAAGTAAACTCTCCAAGCGACATGGGGCAACCTCTGTAGGTCCAGGGCTTTGGGCGTGGCCGTGGCCGTGGCCGGCCGAGGGTTGGGTTCTACGGGTCAACCTGCAGAAACGTAGAGGGAATAGTGCGATCGGTGGTTCGGTCTCACCTTCAATCCGACCGTGGGATCGCACCGAAAATATTGCGTATGCATTTCCACGACTGCTTTGTCCACGGCTGCGATGGCTCGGTCCTGATCGCCGGTCCGAACTCTGAGAGAACCGCCGTGCCGAACCTCACGCTGAGAGGGTTCGAAGTCATCGACGACGCCAAGACTCAGCTCGAATCCGCTTGTCCCAACACTGTTTCTTGTGCCGATATCCTCGCCCTCGCTGCTCGTGACGTCGTCTTCTTGGTAAAGATGATTACCTATAAAAGTGTAACATTTACTTCATGAAGTTATGCGCATGTATTATTGTATTGTATGTTATATATACGTACGTGAATGGATTTTTAATAGACATCTTAAGTAAATATAGTAGTTGGTTAAATGTTTACCCGAGATATATATAAGATGTTTGGTACGTCATGCAGACAGGGGGACCGACGTGGCCGGTGCCGTTGGGACGCCTCGATGGCCGAATCTCGCAAGTCTCGGACGTGGACTTGCCTAGCCCGTTCGATCCCGTCCCCGTTCAGAAGCAGGATTTCGCAGCTAAGAATCTCAACACCGTAGATCTCGTCACCCTCGTTGGTATATTTCCACACATACAATCATATGTATATATATGCTTAGATATACAAATAATGTAAGAAGAATCGCTAACCGAATTCCTTTTTCCGGTTAACCAGGAGGGCACACACTAGGAACCGCAGGGTGCGGTGTGGTTAGAAACAGGTTCTTCAACTTCAACAACACAGGGAGCCCTGACCCGTCGATCAACCCCAGATTCGTGCCGCAGATTCAAGCTCAGTGTCCCCTCAACGGCGACGCAACGAGGAGAGTGGCTCTTGACACTGGGAGCGAGGGCCGGTTCGACACGTCGTTCTTCACGAACGTGAGGTCGGGGCGTGGAGTCCTACAGTCCGACCAGGTCCTGTGGTCAGACCCCGAGACCAGAGCCGTCATCGAACGTTTCTTGGGGCTGCGTCGACCGACCCTCAGATTCGGACCGCAGTTTGCGAGTTCCATGACCAAGATGAGTCTCATTGAAGTGAAGACTGGATCTGACGGTGAAATTCGCAGGGTTTGCTCAGCTGCTAATTAGTTCACAAAAAGGCTAAACTCCTTTGGTTAACAGTAATAATGTGGTTAATAAGCTGGTTAAAGCATTTTGTGGTTTGGTTATTGTTTTTCCAATTGTAATTACTTTTGTAATTGTGCTACTGTTATTTCTGCTGTCGTGTGCAATCTTTCATGGAATAAATAAGTTATTGGTATATATACACATTACACCCTTGGATCATCACATATATGATCAACGCGGAATTGGTCATGCAGATGATGACAATTGGTTTTCTCAGGGGCTCTTTTGTAACGTTTCAAAGATTTAGGGCCATATCCAAAATGTTTTTTTAATCACGAAAATCTATCGCATTGGAAAAAAAAAAATTCTGCATTTAACACATCTTTATAATTGTTTTTTAAAAAGCCTGATATTTGCACCAAAATTCAAGCAGTAACAAGAATTGAAATCAATGAGCAAATATGGCATGACTGAATGTGTCATCCTTCGATTCGACAGCAAGGGAACGAATAGGACATGAAGAATTGGAGATATTTTCTTGAGGGGGAGGGACTAGTTCAAACATTAGTTTCTTACGGGGTCAATATGAAAAGTTTTGGAAGTTATGGGGTGATTTCATGCGTAGTGTTATTGGGTTCACTACGTTTTGGGCTTATGGCCCAAACCATACACATTCATATCCAATATATACATACATATATACGTGCTGATACAACTCCGCCTCTCTCTCTCCTCACCCGTTAGTTCCCATTTTTACCACACACAGTCTCTCTCTACTCTAAACGGGTACCTGTAGAACATCGACAATGGCCGTCGTCGTCAGGTCCTCCGCCGCGGCGATGTCTCTCATCGCCGTTTTCGTTCTCTCGGTTTCTTCCGCCCCTGTCTTCGCAGCGTCGCACCAGCACGCCGCTCCTGCGCCGGCGGTCGACTGCTCGACGCTGATACTGAACATGGCGGATTGTCTGACGTTCGTCTCGAGCGGAAGCTCGGTGGCGAAGCCGGAGGATTCGTGCTGCTCCGGTCTGAAGACGGTGCTTAGGACCGACGCCGAGTGTCTCTGCGAGGGCTTCAAGAGCAGCGCCTCGCTCGGTGTCACCTTGAACGTCACTAAGACTCTTACTCTTCCCGCCGCGTGCAAGCTTTTACACGCTCCTTCCATTGCTAGCTGCGGATGTGAGGCTCTTTGATCTATCTCTCTATCTCTGTATTTGTGTCCTTTTCCTGTGTAGATCTCTGATTTTTCTCGTTTTTTTTTTATTTGTTGGTTTTCGAGTTGATTTCTTCAGATCCCCATTTCTTCATGTTTCTCCTCGCGTTTCCCTTATACCGGTTCAAAAATTTTGAATAGAATTTTGAGATTTTTGTTTAAACTCTTCTAGATTTATGTGTTTAGAGAAACGATAGTCGTTCTTGGTTTGGGATTTTTTCTTCCTCATAATTCTATTCGCTCGAGATTGACCTCTTTCTGGATTATGACTAACATCTATGAGGGTTCTTCTCAAAATCTTGCAGAAAATCTGTGGAATTTCAAATTTGCTTCCTACTCTCTGCAGTATAATATATTTTTTTCCCGAAGCGGATAGAGATTATTGCTATTATTGGGCGTTTTGCTGACTAACAAAGCTTGTATTTGCTTTCTTTTGCAGTGTCTACTCCTCCAGCTGCTGCGCCAGGTTTGGCTCTTTCCTTATTTGATCTGATCTTTTATTTACAATGTGACATTTGTATGTTCATCCAATGTTCTTTATCTTCCATCTGGATTTAACTTGTTACCCATATAAAAAAAATTGAATCGTATTCATTGGTTTGTTCCAATGTTTGTTCTGCAATTTCCTGATGGCATCCAAAAGGCTTAAACTTTAAGAGATTGTTTAGTGGGATTTGCAATGTTAGACCATATTGACCTGGAAATCAGGGACTTTAATGGAGTCAAGAATCTTGATCATTTCTATGCTTTGATTGAATTGAGTCAAGTCCTTTCAGTTGCCACAAAAACCATAATGCTGAAATGTAAGTCGAGAATCATGGTTGATGTTCATCATTGCGTTGTTTTCACATGGGACCATTAAACATGTGATATGTCCATATCTTATCTTGTGCCATCCATCTTGGATGTGTTATTCATTGACCGACTCTCATAGAACAAGAATCAAGATTGTCGAATCCTCCATTTAATATGCGTGACTTAATGTTTTCCATAGACTTTATATTTAGTTTCTTTCTCAATTTAGATTGGGATGTAGATTCTTCTTTTGCATACCCTTTTAAGAGTTTGTAATTATATGCAATGTCCCTTCCTGCAATGTTGCAAGCAAGAACCAGTTTTCTTGGATTGGATTGGCTATGTAGTCTTGATTTGACTGTCTTTATGTCTTATACATGCACCAGGTCTCGCCCCAGGTGCTGCCGCTGGGCCAGAATCAGCTGGATCCAATGGGTTAGCACCGGCACCGGCTCGAGGGAACTATGCTTCGGCCTTGGTCCCGGTCTGGGTGGCATCAGTAGTCGGTGGTGTATTGGTTCTGCTGTTCTCTCCTCTCTAAACCAAGTCTTTACCTTTAGACCGGTGTATTCTCTCTTATGGTAAGAGTTAGAGAAATTCTTTTAAGAGTTGTGTAACTTTTTTCCATTTTAATCTAATGTTTATGTAAAACTCGGTTTTCTATTTAGTGCTTATGTTAAACTCGGTTCCAGTGTGTTCGTATAACTCGTTAGTATTTGATCATTTTGTGCCTTGTGATCGTTGGTATGGTTTTGGTTTACTGGTAATATTTTGGTTCAGGTATAAACCGGGTTTTGTCCAAATCGGTTTGGTTTTGCAAAAACAAGCCGAAGTGAAATTGAAGCGATTTGGGTTTATTAATATATGGTTTTTTAAAAGAATTAATAAAAAATGGGAATAGTGTTGCTGTTAATTCATTTATTTAAATTTCAAAATACAAATCTTGTAATAATTACGTGGACAAGTCACGTTTATTATGTTCCCACACGCAATGGAGGGAAAATCAAACGAAGGATTCGGCTCCAGTGGACTACCGGCGCACGTTAGATCCATCCCCTCACCGTATTAAAATAAAATAATTGAAAAAATAGAAAAATTAAAATAACATTCTGTCAATAATAATTTCCTCTCTTTCAATA